TTTCATTGACCTTTTAGAAATATCCCCCATGTACATGCAATACACACACATGCCAACACATACACACACACAATGCTTCTTTTGACTTCTTTTTGTTCTCTTTCTCAGAGAACCACAAAAAAGCATAATCGTCCAGGTTATATATTTATCTAGCCACTTAACTAGTTATCCAGTGTCATCAGCAGCAATACACTCATCTACGCTTAATGTCACATAGGAGTACACATTTTATTGATCCTATTGACCAGCAGAAATCTTTTTAATGCATTTGGTATTTGCTACTTATCCATCTGTAGAACTAATCTCAAATTTGAGAGAAGGAGTAAACAGAGAGGTTTCCACATTTGCTTTTACTAACATTCATTTGTATGTCTCAATTAAAGAATCTTTTTAGGATGTTAATTGCATCTTTGAACTACATGGAAAAGATATCATATTTGAAATAAATACAGAATTAATGTGTGAATGCCTTTGAAGCACACACAATATTATTTAGTAGTTTTATTTTTAGTAAACACACAGTTTGAAAGTGAAATAGTTTTAGTTGCTCATACTCTTATAAAGCATTTTCCTTCAATTCGTTTACACATTTTCATTTTAATGCAGTGTCATATATATATACATATATATATTCCATCATATAGAATTCATCTTGTGTGTATGTAATCTAAAACAACCCATTTTAATATACCTGCAACTTAGCAGAAGAGACAATTTCACTATAGCATAACTTAAAGCATCTATTTTTTTTTCTGAGTATAAAAACTTCTTACATTGAATAATGTAGACACAGCAGAGGTCTTATTGTTTTCTATTTTGTGTTTCGCTGGAACATAAATGAGGTTATGATTTTCTATTGTCTCATATATGGATTCATTTCAGTTGGAAATTTAAGAAGTGGAAATTACTTCAATAATAACTAACATAAACCAACTATCATATTGTTACATCTTTATGTGTATATTTGTAACAAGAAATAAAATTACATGCTTTGAAAAACAAAAGTACACATAAGGGAAAACTTGCTAAATTCCTTTTTATTAAAAAAAGGCAGGAGAGATTTAAGAATTAGCAAAGATTACTCAAATATGTTAAGAAATTGCATGTCGATTAATTTTGATGCAGTTTTGCTCTTTGATTATATTTACAGACTGATGTAGCTGCATCTATTTGCTGCTTTTGCCAGAAGAAATCCCAATTTATAGAAAAAACACATACCATTGCTGAAATTATGAATGCTAATTTTTGCCTAAAAAATTACATATTGAGTGTACTACAATAGAAGCCAGATTTGACATGTTATAATAATTTCATTATTTTATTCAACACATGTTTCCTTTAATAAAGTTCTGATGACGTCAAATATCATGGACATAATATCTAATTTCCACATAGAATGGCTCATTTTTATTAAGCAGTTTTGAGAAACAGTTCTGAAAAAATTATAGCACTAAGTTTTTATTAAGAAGGAAACCTCTTAAATACCCAACCTACTTTTATGCTTCAAAGAAGCACAAAAAGAAAAACAAACTAAGTCCAAATTCAGCAGAAGAAAAATCTATTTCATTGTAATGGGGCATACAAACTAAAAAATCAACAGAAAAAGGGGCAACCATAGTGATAAAACAGGATAATCCGGTGTCCATGATACTGGCATCCTATATGGGCAATGATTCTAGTTCTCGCTGTTTTATTTCTGATATGGCTTCCTGTTTATAATCTGGGGATGATGGGGAGGGTGATCCAAATCCTTGGGTTCCTGCATCTATGTGGCAGATCCAGAAGAAACTCCTGGATCCCAGCTTCAGATTGGCTCAGCTCTGGCCATTGAAGTCATTTGGGTGTAAACCAGCACATGGAAGATCTGTCTCTCTCCCTTTCTCCCTGTAACTCTGACTTTCAAATAAAAATAAACAAATCATGAAAAAAGAAATGAAGGATACACTAAATTAAGAGTTGACTGCTTGAAGAGAGAAATAAAATTTAGCAATTTTTAATGAGATAAAAAAATAAAGACCACTGAATTAAGGGAAAAAAGAGGGGTGTTACAATAGAGAGAAAAAGAAAACAAAGGATATGGTAGTTGTCTGAAGTAGTGCTTAAGGAGATTTTGAGAACCTGCATCGTACATTGATATGTCTGGGTTCTAACTCCAGCCCTACTCATGATTCTTGCTTCATGTTACTGTGAGCCATGAGATGGGGCAGGTGATAGCTTAGCACATGGGATCTTTGTTGGAGACCCAGACTGTGTTTCGTGGCTGCTTAAGTTTGTCCTACTTATATCCACAGAAAGCCAGTGGATGGGGGATCTCTATGCGTCTATGTTCCTGTATTTCTGTGTGTCCCTCTGCCTTTCAAGTGAGAAATAAAAACAACTTCAAAACAAGGAAAACATGGAAATTGGCAAAAATTCTCTCTATAAAAAAAGACATGTCAGTGATCGTAAGGCAACATGTATCAACTCGACAATAATAAATTAGATGACCTAGAAGTACAACCTAAATTCCTATAAACATAAATCTTACCAATAATGAAAATTTCACAAAAATAAAAAAATGAATAAATTCAAACAGAATCTCCAATTAAAACCAAATACGTAAATGTCTATAGTAGTTAAATCTATGAATAATTTAAATAAGGTTTAGGGTCAATATTTCTGAACCTCCCAAAAATTGATGAGAAATTATTATTTCCATTGTATTTAAAAGACCAGCATTACCATGATAACAATGTTAAAATCAAAGATTATAAGTTGAAAATAAAGGCCAATATTTCTTGTGAATATAAATGCAAAACCCTCAACAAAATATTAGCAAGTGAAATTCAATAATACAGCAGAATGATCATCCTTACTATCAAGTAAGACATATCCTGCAGATGAATAAGACGCTGAACTTTATGCTAGGCATGTGTTTGCAAGCAATGAATCTCAACTGAACTTGAACTATGGTTATGCAACAAGGTGGAGGAATCCACCATGGGGGGAGGGGTATGGGAGGGGTGGGGGGGATCCCCAGCGCCTATAAAACTGTACTACATAATATAATGTAAGCAACAATAAAAAAAAAACAAAAAAAACCATGGATATATGAATCAATATATATGATATACATAATACACATGTTCATTTAAAGGCAACATGAACTTGACAAAATCCAGCATTTACTCAAGATAAAAGCCATCAAGCAACTAAATACTGAAGAAATGCTCCTGAACAAAAGCAAGACTTATTGTGACACTCCTAGAGCTCATATCATTCTTAATGGTTAAAAGCTGAAGTATTTCTTCTAAGACTACAGATAAGATTTTCTATCCTAAATACAGTATTACAAACCTTAGCCAGAGCAATTTTGCAACCAAAATAAATAAAAATCTTCCAAACTTGAAAGCAAAATGTTTAAATTGTCCCTGTTTGCAAATGAGAGTCTATATATCGATAATTATAAAAACTCTACCAAGAAAATCATATTGAAATGAACAAATGAATTATTGAGGTTGTAGTACACATTAAGATCAGTTCAATAGCATTTCCAGACACTCAGTAGCTATCCACGCAAGAAAAAAGAGAAGGAAATGAAGACATGCATACATAAACATATGTATACATGTATAGCATATAATCATAAGCACTAATATTTTGTATCGTGTGTGTGAAAGACTTGTTAAAACTATAAGACTATAAAACTATAAGACACTAATATAATAAATTACAAAGGAAAATAAACTGAAAACAAGGACATGTTTATGAGTTAGAAGAATTCATCTTAGTTAAAATGTCTATTCTACTCAAAGAAATTGACAGTATAATATGAGCCCTATCAATTATTTAATGATAGTTTTCAAAAAATACAAGAATAACCCTAAAATTTTTGTGAAGTCACAAATGACCTTAGAGAAATAGAGCTAAATTACGCCAGAAGAACAAATCTGAGGAATCATACCATCTTATTTCAAATGTATTAAATGTTAGGCAATTAAAAAAACATGACTCTTTCTTAAAAGTGGCTGAGAGAACAACAGAATAGAAATGACAACCTGGAAATGAATTCATGCATGTCTGGTCCATTAAATTTGGCAAATTTTACATCAACACAACGTGGGGAAAAAGTATTTTCAATACATGCTATTGGAAGCTGGATATCCACATGTTGGAAAAAAAAAATGGAAACTAGAACTTGAGACCTGCAGTAATCCAATTGTTATCAAGAAAGAGATATAAAAATATTATTGATGTTTTGTAAGTTCTAAAGTATAAACAGCATGCATAGATAAGTGAATCTGCATCAAACTGAAACTCTTCTGGATAAAAAAGGAAGCAATCAATAGAGGGAAGAGAAACCTATGCATTGGGGAAAAGGAAATACTTCATAACTTCATTGATTTTACTCATATGGGGATTCTAAAATTTTGAGATCATAGTTGCATGATAGAATGGTGTTTTGTAGAGACTAGAGAGAACTGGTAGAGTGATTGTATGAAGCAACTCTGCAGGCATGTTGTAAAGGAAAGAGGAGTAACTGTAGTTTATACTACGTGTGTTCTTGAAAAACACTGAGAGCAATTATAAGTCCCCACTACAAACAATAAAAATGATTTGAAACAATAAATATGGGAAACTTTTTAATCTAATCATTATTGCTGTGTATATCATGATTTATGAAATCTTAATTTGCAAATTATTCATTAATAAACCTGAGGTGATAAAGAACCAGCTTGGAAAAAGAAACAAAAACTGAATGACATATCTTTTTTTCTGCTAGAAGTAATTTTTAATGAGCCACGTTACTATGTAAAATCACAATCTTCTAACCATATATAGCAAAGAATTCAATATCCAAAGAGTTGAGTTTTATCAAAAAGGATTGCGTATGCCAGTTTGAATCCACTATCAGTAAGGAGACTCTTTGAAAAGGGAAAGTAAGATGACTAGCTTCAAAGAATGAACGCGTAATTGAAAACATTCATATTTATTGTAAAATGTGTAAGTGGAATACATACTGGGTTTAAGAGGATTGTCAGAAAAAGTTCTCCTCCTCTGATACTTTTATCCAGTTCTTGAGGTCCTCCTGGATACTCTTTGTAGAAAATAGTGTGAGTGAACAACCCACATGTCTGCCGAGGGAGGACCTGAGACAGAGGAAAACAGCATGTTCTGATTCACACTAAAAACCCAACCAGTATCTTATAACTTGTGTCCGAAAACTACCGTTTCCTATTCAGGTTTCTTGATTGCTATGGCCAATATCTTGTTCTAATCAAGAGAATCATGTAGATATATAGTGAGTTGCCAAATTAAAGCTATTTCACATGAAAGTTGAATAATTTCCATTCACTTCTATAATCCACTAGCTCAGTTATGTTTTTTAAAAAAAGCCTTCTTTGGGTTGATTTGATAATAATTCTTCAATGTATCATTGCCTATGCTGTTAGTCTACTCACTGTCTGGGCTTCTGAGATCCAAACTTGCACTGAATTCAAAGCAGTGAGTTTTTATCACCTCCCTTTACATTTGTTTATCAACACACTGAATTTAACCTTTATCATAGCAGTAGTGAAATTATGTAATGATTGCTACTGGCATATTTTGCCATTAATTCTATCATAAATCTAGAAAGATTCTCATGAAAACGTACATTAAATTTAAGGTAAATGAATGCATGCAATAAAAACTATAGGAAAATGTTCATTTCATTATCTATGGAATTAATAACATGAAAACTATATACTTGCACTTCAATTTGAAAACATGTGTATTCTTATTAATATGAACTAATAAACAATGATTATATCACTATCAGTTAATGCATCTGTGAAAAAATATATACCTCTCTTTTTGGAGTACACAAGAGAGAGGGAATGGAAACAAACAGTATTCCAAGATACTTTTGGAGATCTGAAAGTCAAAATAAACCAAGAGGATACATTTAGCTAGGAGATTCTGTTTGCCCTATTTGGTCTGTTACTGATGCAGTGATTTGAATGATATTTCTCTGAGCCTTGGAACTCCACTCTACACATCTTCCTCTCTTACAACAAGAGAAATGGACACCATGAAATTCCTTGGGAGAATAATACACTACTGAGACAAAAATCTCAATCCCATAACTCCAAAGAATGCTCTGTGCAAAATTCATTTCCATTATTTCTCTTTTGCCTTGAACTCCCCAAAGCCATTGCATGGCTTAGAAAAAATACAAAGTATGAGCAGTCATCACCATAATATGATAGAAATTTGTAGCACTCATCTAAAAGTCTGGAGGTACAACCTTAGAGATAGTGGCCACTTGTTTTCATTTCTTGTGTGGATTTGATACACCTTCTCCACCTAACAGCAGAATGTGCTCACCATGATGCTGTTGTGAATGAAACCCTTCCTGTACCGTGCAGGTTTCAAATGTGGATACTCTTCAGTGCTGGTGACCTGAATGCCCCAGACCTTCTTCCAAGCTGCATAGAGCTGAATGTGAACTGGGTAGACCCCTGAGTGATGGGGTGCCACAGCATAGCCCATGTTGATTGGTATTCCATGTTCCTGAAAGAAGTCAGAACAACACCATGATGTTTTAATTCAATTAAAACTATTTTTGCAAGAATCTATTTAGTACACACTGAACACTACACTAGGTAGTCAATGAGCAGCACAGAGTCTATAATCTCAACAGTTTATACTCCTACACAAACTGGAGGATATAATTGACATAGGATTTACTTTGGCCATGTGGTGTGTGACTAAGATGAATTTTGAATTTGGACACAGTATGTTTCAGATGAAGCGTCAAAATGAACTCGGCTTGAGATAAGTAGCAGGAGAAGGAAAGGCACCACTTGAGCAAGTGTCTATATTTGAAGATGAAAAATATATATATGTGTGTGTGTGTGTGTGTGTGTGTGCATGCGCTTGTACATTGAAGAAATCTAAAAAAGTTAGTATAAGCATTTAGTGATGAATGATTCAGTTAAAGTGAAGTATTTGGTTCCCAGTCTAAGAGAATAGTGTAGATAGGGAAGCTCACTCCGCATGGAAGGTTGCGATCTGCTGTTTTTTTTTTTTTAAGATTTATTTATTTTTATTGCAAAGCCAAATATACAGAGAGGAGAGACAGAGAGGAAGATCTTCAGTCCCATGATTCACTCCCCAAGCGGCCGCAGCAGCTGGAGCTAAGCCAATCCAGGAGCCTCTTCCAGGTCTCCCACGTGGGCGCAGGGTCTCAAGGCTTTGGGCCATCCTCGCAGGGAGCTGGGTGGGAAGTGGGGCTGCCTGGATCAGAACCAGCGCCCATATGGGATTCCGGGCAAGCAAGGCGAGGACCTTAACCATGACACTATCACACCGAACCCTTGTGATCTGCTGTGTTTTGAACGAAGGATACAGTGACAACACAACAGGATGAATTGTGAGGGGGAAATGAATTGAATATGTACTTAGGGAAATGCTTGTTTGGCACTAAGTAGCCAAAAATGGGTAAAAAAAAAACAACACTACTGGTGGGCACTTTGAAGGACAGGTAATTAATGCTCTGCAAGAGGCTAGGTAAGGGAAAGAGAAAGGCTGAGTTTCTCACTTGAAATTTAAAAACTCATTTTAGCTTTTGTTTGTTTGTTTTTACAAAACATACCTTGCTTTACAACTAGAAGCTCACCTTAGAAAAAGCAGTTACCCACAAAAGCATATATAAATTTATAACACGAATATGAGGAAACTTGTCAAAGAATGGTATTGTATTGCTTGTTACATGAAATTGAATTTTGGTGTTCTAATTTCTGCTTTTTTATATTTCTCCCCTTAAAGGCTTATCTGCTTTACAAAGAGTCCTTGTAGGACAGAATCTCATCAACTGGAGTTATAAATGGTAGTGTACAGCCATATGTGAAAGCTAACTGAATCAATAAACGGACCACAGAAGTGTTAACTTGACGATTGTCGTTTTTATTTTCTGCTGCCTGGTATACAGCATACGGAAAAAAATCAGTCCAGTACAATAAGCAAGCACTGAATGGATCACACGTCTACAGTGCTTAAGCCATATGCCACACTCCACTCAAAAGATGGGCCCTAGATATTTCACAAACCTCCATCATTCTTCCTTTCGTGGAATGACTGCTACCGTGTAGCAAAATTCCCCTCTTTTTCATCACAGCGATGTGTTTTCTAACATCCATTACAATAAATAACTCTGTATAAGGGCTGAATTATGAAATCAGTTCTGTAAAATGAGCTGAAGTCTTTAGCTAAGCACTAGGGAAAATTCATGTCTTGGTGCGCCAAAGAAAAGCACTTTTTCACAGCCGTTTATATCGTCAATAGAAGGCAAAGTTGGAAAAGTTTAGAAACAAAATTGGTTGGAACAAGATACTAATGCTGTTACGCTGAGATATCACTAGAAAACAGGTGTTAGAAAGAGTTAGTTCTGTCTGGTTTGTTTTGTACCACCAATGGATGGTTCAAAGTGTCCTCAGGATGGGTACTCCTGTGGAATCAAGGCTGAAAGGATGTGTCTATGTCAAATATCGGATCCTGCCTCAGAACAACAATCTAGGATCAAGATTTTCAACCTCCTCTGGCTGGTAGAGAGTCCATATAAATGCCTAGGAAATATTCCTGATTCAGAGGAAAACGTCATTTTCTTATTGCTCTCTAAAGTGCTTATATTGATGTTATATAAATCTCATTCTATGTTCCAATAAGAAAATCAGCAGTTCACATAGTCTTTCCTAATCACTTTGACAGTCTTCATTTTGTACTGCTGTATTATTGTATTTTAAAGTTGAGGACCACAATGCTGGAAAATATGTGATTGTTCTAGGATTAAAAACATGAAAATAAAAATCAGCAAATGGAATTGAGATATCAATGATATCTCTTTAAACAAACATATAAAAAGATATCTCAATTCTGTCAGATACAAAATGAATTGTAGAACTTTCATAAAAAATACAGAAAGGTAAAAACAATTGATTTGGTGAGCAGGAAAGAAGGGACAGTAAAATGATTTTATGATATTTATTGATTTTTGAGAGGCTCAGTGTTATATTGGTCATAAGATCATCTTATTTGACTGCTAGAGTTCAATCACAATAGTAAATCACACAGGACAATTACAAGTTTACACTTTCTCAGTCTAAATGACCACATAAAGTGACAACACTTTTTATTATTATTATCATCAAGGGCATTACTGGATAGAAAGTTTCAATCTTTACTGTACAGAGGTTAAAACCCATTTTATCGAGACTTTACCAATTTAAAGCATGAGCCACATATTCTGTTCAAAGATGACGGAAGTTACAAAATTCAAAAGGCTTTTAAAATCAAATGCAAGAACTATTTGAAACACATGAAGTATATATGTGACAGGATAAACAAAGACATTTAAACGTGACTTCTGTTACCTACAAGAAGGAAAATGTTTATAAGAGAAATTCTATTATATTTAATTAATGCCATTACCAAGAAAAAAAGGGCAGTTTGACTACATCTAATTTTTAAACTTCCATTAAATCCCTATCAGTTTAAGGGGAGCAATAATGTGGTGACTTAGAGACAACTGAAAAAATAATAAAATTTTTAACAAGTAAAAGAATATGCTTAATGTATTTATTATAACATTTTACATTTAATATAGTAATAATAGCAGCTGAAAAGAATTAATTTCATGTCTCTTTGATCATCTCCGATTGTATCTACTTGTAACTGGGTAGTACCTGAGATCAAGAGTGTTTTCATGTGTGTATGTAATGTGAACCTCATTAAAAAATAACATGAGAGGTACTAAACATAGTACAATGACAATAGCGAGGATTGGAGCAAACTTGTTCTTGTGTTCACTTGTGTTTGAATTAGAATTATACTTAATTCCATAGAAGTCATAGGCATTGCTTTTGCGTTTTCTCCTTTGCACTTCCCCTTGGTTAGTGATGAAAAGTACTTTGCTTTGAAAAGGGAATTGGTTTTAATATATTTCTGAACTGGAAAGCCTATTGAACTCATTGTTTTGTCTTTTTTCTTTTTTACTTGAGGAGTATTAAAAGCCAAACAAACAAAAAAGGTACATTTTCAAATTCGTATGTAGTTATTTTAAAACAAACAAGATTGAGTCAATTGGAAATACTCAGAACAAATTGGTGAGGCTAAGGGAAGCCTAACTTAAATTTTGGTAGCTTCCATCTCCTGCTGTTGGCATGTCTGATCTTCAAGACAAAAGTCTATACTTCTGCAGCATTTGATATCCATTTTCAGGGCAACATTGGAAGCATACTAATTCTGTCACGGCTACAACGATAGTGCCAGAAATGGTAGCTTCCCTTGGGATTGGAATTGGGTCTGTGAAACCCCATGGGAAGACATCCTAGAATCTGCTCCATCAGCCCTTCCAAAGTTTTTGGAAACACTGAAGTCACTGGATAAAATTCATCTTGTTTAAAATAACTTAAGGAAGTTTCTCTTTCTAGCTCATTGATATGACTGACAGAGCTGCTCTTTGTTCTTTCTAATGAGCTTAAATATTTAAGATGTTCAGTTGAGATCTCTACTGGTTCTCATTGTTGAGGAAAAGATTACTAAAGACCTTTGCAACATTTCTCAAAAACAAAACAAAACAAAACAAAAAAAACCAAAACTGGTAAATTAAAACATAATTGGCTGGATACTGTTGTGGTTATAGCCCTGGATTTTTCATGAAACTTCAATAATGGAAATAGCAGTACAACTCAGCAATCAGGTAATTACATCTTAAATTCTTGAGTTTGGACTTAAAAGCATTTGAATTTCTCTTAAATATAACAGTTATTTTTAATTTTTAAGCACTTAGTTGGCAGTGATTTTAGAATTGAAAGGATTCCAGACAAGACATAAACCATTGAAAGCAATAAACTAAAACAATGATTATTTTGAATAAAATGAGTACCTGGGATACATTTGCCTTTGAGTATAAGTTAAAATCTTTTATTACATATTTTGCATTTTATTTATTTTATGTAAGAAGCAAAGACACAGATTTCTCATCCATTAATTCATTCCCTAAATCCCTCCCGGTCAGTTACGCAACCTGGGTATCTTTTCTGAATGAAAAGGATTCAACTTTCTGAGCCATCAGTTGGTACTACTCAGGGTGTCTATAGTACCGAATAAAGTGATATGATTTTTTGGAGAAAAAAATCTTTGCTCCAATGTATTGATTTTGATGACCATGGTATCTTGGTGCCATAATGCTTCAGTACTCCTCAGTGAGAAAGCCATGACCTACTAAGTTCCAGGGTGACCTGTAGGTGTCTTGGGAAGCAAAAAAGAATCACATAAAATTCAAAAACTGATGAAGGGGGGAGAGAAGAGAAAGTGAGTGAAGCTTTCATCTTGAAGCTCTATTGTGATCTGCTACTAACAATGGGACAAAGAAAGAAAAATGGGATGAGGAGGACTTTGCTCGTTGGCGTGTGGGAGTATGCATGAAGATCCCTATACAGAGTTGGGAGAAGAGCCAAATAAATGACTTTTTCTCTGCTATTATGACTCTATCATCGCATTCCATGATGTTT